GTGCTGACATTGTTACATTGTGGCTAGTTTGGGTCATATCAACCTGTAATGGAATGAAAAAATCGTTTTGCTAATTAAATAATTGAAATGTTCAAAACTGTTTCAATACATTGTATTACATGTATTTTATAGCTCCCATGTCAAATTAGGTAAATTCAGTTAGGAGCGAGCAGTTTGGGTTATACCAGCCTGTAATGGAATGAAAAAATCGCAGGGCGAATCTATTATTTGAAATGTTCAAACGATATCAAGGCATTGTACTTTATAGCTCCCATATCAAATAATGTGAATAAGGTGACGTTGTGGGTAGTTTGGGTCATACCGGCCTGTAAGGGAATGAGGAGCGTCTTGTCTCTAATGGAATGAAAAGATTGCTTGACTAATTAAATAATTGAATTGTTCAAAACTGTTTCAATACATTGTACCCCGGTAGTACATATATTTTATAGCTCCCATATCAAATAAAGTAAATGCAGTGATGTTGTGGGTGGGTCATACCGACTTGTAATGGAATGAGGAGATCGCTTGGTGAATTAATTATCAAAAAATATCAAAGCTATATAGCTTTCATGTCAAATACATGAAATACCCATGCCATGACAGTTTTACTCCACTCGCTAACAGTCTGGTGAAAGGGAAGACTATAAATGAACAGTGTGTTGATCAAGGCTGTTGCTTTTACAAAAACGAGCAAAACTTTTTGTCAATGAAAGTCGCTGAACATAATGGCGTAATTTGTCGTTATATTGAGTACCCAGCGATGGTCAGAAGTCTTTGCTGAATTGGTCACATGACATTGTCACTTGATTGCGAACGAAAGTGCTCTAATGGAATAACTAGGGCTAGGCCTCTCTCGTTAGGATTGGGTAGCCAATCGAACACAGTCTTGTAAGTAGCTCTGCACTGACACCCCCCACCCCACCCCCCGTTCAAGGTTTAATTGCAATGAAATGTACGGGACACATATTGACCATTTTATGTTGAATGTCGCCTAACTGAATACGAGTATTTTTAACACATCCTGGCATATAAAAGGAGTTTGTTAGCATTTCGGATGGCAACACAAACCAAGCTTCCTAAGATTAGTTCTATCATTTTCTGACAGCTTTGCAGCACATTTAAAATTTTTAGTTGTTCAGATATCCCACTGCTTAGACTGTTTGGACAGGATGAGTATACACAACTAACAGAACACGAAGCTTTTATAATACTGTGGTCATGTATTTCAGTTCTTTTCTGTTCCACCCAAACTTTTAGGAGACTACCCACTATAGGAAGTACCATGCTCTAGATAATGCTTAAAGGGCGACAGTCGTCGTGCAGCGTCCTGTTCGATATGGGACTCATAGCGACGTATACAACACGTGTAAAATACATTGTTTATTTACATGAAATTCGAACACGCGCTGCGCGACGACCACCGCGCTTTAATGAATTAATGTTCCCTATCAGTCAGACAAGGCTTCAAAATCCAGTTTGGCTGCAAACAACCTATGGTGACAACTGTCAATGTATCTACCAGCAGCTAGTTGCATGTATTTGCTGATGGTGATAGTTACTCTACAGGAAGTTAGAGACTTTGGCAAAAGGGGCTAATTAGTGGTAAACTATACCTGCCTGCTTTGCACTTAACACATTTTCGTGAATGGTGGGTGCCTTTTAATAAACTAAAGCTGGCTGAATAAGTACTTACAGCAGATCATTTCAAAATGGGAACCTAAGCCTATCTGGCTGATGCATTCACTCTGGATTTTTTCCATTGTCACTAGATCTAAAGATAATCGTATCTGCACGTACCAATTCACCGATAGATACACTTCATGAACAACCCAAGTTCGGGTAGCATGGCTACACAGTCGGTAAACATAAACCTGAATCTAGATATTTGAAATAAGTGTGAAACAGTGCTGTGATCACAAAAAGATAGTTCCATTTCAATTAAAGAACTGAAGATATCATTAGAAAATAAACAATATGTATAGTATCAAAGCAACCGAAATACCACTTTTCACCAAAAATGACAAAATGAATTCATTAAAATTAGATAATTTAAGATATCACGAAATGAACATATCTTAGAGAGGACCACATGTAGTCCTTATATATGTAATATCAAAGCATTCAGACTTGTGGTTTTCAACAAAAAGTCGAAAATATCACTTTTTAGCCAAAATGACAAAAAGAATTCATTAAAATTAGAGAATTGAAGATATCATCACAAAATGAACAAATCTGAAAGAGATCTACCCAAGGTGCCTATATACCAAATTAAAAAGCATTCAGAATTATGGTTTCAAAGAAGTCAAAATATCAATTTGAGATTTTGACATGAAATGAACAAATCTGAAAGAGAACCATCCAAGGTACTTGCATATAAAACTTGAAAACATTCTGACTTACAGTTATGAAGAAGAAGTTGAAATTGTTAAGTTGACGTTGATGATGACGACGGACAATCAGTAATATGAACAGCTCCGCTGTGTCGACAGCGGAGCTAAAAAGCAGGCAGGAGATAGTGAGAGTCCCTTTCCCCAATAAGTTTTACTTTCAGTCACACCTTCAGCAAATTATTTGCTACTGGTAGGTGCATTGACGATGATTCAATGGTCATTGGATAGCAATCTAGATTTGGGTTACTGTAATAAGCATCCATTTCTGACTGCCACACAGAGACTTGTCCTTATCAAGTATGAGTGTTTTTGCTCTGATTTTTGTGTGCATTCCGTATAACAGCTGTCACAGCACAAGTTTTGAAAGTGAAGCTCAAAATAAAAAGTTGGCCCATTCCAGTCACATGGTACTTTCTTCTGTTCCGCAAATCTAGTTTGCAATCACTGTATCACATTTCCCCTGTGCAAAAGGTGGCAGTCTGCATTACAATTACGACTAATGTAATATGTAACCCCTGTACTAGGGGGCCTAGGCACTGGCAAATAATTTCCTGTCTCAGGAAGTCCAGTGTACTTGGCTCTCATTAATGTGCTGTAACAAAGCTGTCAAAGGCAAGGCACTCCTTCCTTGCAAATAATAGCACTTCTGGATCCATCGAGGGTAGACTGTATAGGGGTTTTACCACCTGTTTTAGTGTTAGCAACATCTATAATACATTATTCCAGACTCTACTAGACTAGTGCTCTCAAAAGAATCCTTGATTCTGTCTTACGAAAGCCAGTATAAATCCAAAGAGGGTTGTTCTTGCTAATCTGAGGGACTCAGAATCGATAGTGCTAGGATACTCTTCCTTAGAATATAAATTTAGATTAAAGGCAAAGTCCAAATAGGGCATCCCATACACAGATTCTTCATGGAGCACAATCAATAGTACCGGTACAACAAAAAAATTTGTAGGCTTATTTTCCAACCACTATAATTTCTAACGACTAGGTTTCTCATCCCAAAAAATGAATATGCTACTCAAAACAATTTAAGGAACACTTTAATATTCTCAGTTACAGCAAGATCCTTTATTTCAGATAAATCCATTTGGTCACATAATACACAATGAAACAGATGATAAGGACTGCATATACAAAATGTAATCATTACACATTTCAATACACGAATTCTGAAAGAGACTGAAAGTGTTGAAAATGAAAATCCCCGTTCATGGAACATTTCAATAATAGGTGTACCACCTTTTGAAGTAACACATGCAACAAAACTTCACCTCAGCAGTGAACATTGTGGTATCGCTTGCCACTCCTGGATCAGCCATTGAGCTAGCTGACGACGATCCACTGGTGGATGATTGCCCATAACAGAAAGACAAAGTTGATCCCACAAATGTTCAATTGGTGTCATGTCAGGTGAATAAGCAGGCCAATCCATTCTGTTGATGTTGTGTTGGTGCACATGGTGTGGTCTGGCATTATCATCCTGTTGGACTGCCGCAGCTTCTATCCTCTGTAGACAAGGTAACACAATAGGTTGCAGGATCTCGTCTCTTTAACGTAATCCAGTTAAATTGCCATCAATAACATGGAATGTGCTGTCAAGCCCAGTCTAAATGAGCAGTTGTGTGGCGTGGGAGAAGGACTGGCCTAACAGCCTGGCGCCTAGGCCTGACATTTCTGGCCTTCAGACGGTTCTGCACAGTCTGGTCACTCCTTTTGGTATGAGTTGCTGCTCTGAGGGTCTTGCATTGGAATTGGCAGTTACAATTCGATTATGAAGGACTGAGATAAGGAGGTAGCGGTCCTCAGCAGGAGTTGTGACACATGGACGACCTGACCCGAGTCTGCCATGTACTGTATTGGTTTCTCGGAAGTGCTGGAATAGTCTGTGCATAACAGATGGGCTCACATTTAGCCTTCTTGCAGCTTCTCGCAAGGACACGCCCTCATTCAACCAGCCCATGGCCCTGGCTCTTCAATTGTTAAATGTTGACATGGAGACATGCTTGCAAAAGCTGCAACAACGCCATTAGTGAGTGTATTCTGATTACCATAATTGGCAGATGTGATCACAAGGATGCATTATGTACAGGGAAAAAACTCGACATTCTTCTAAGCACAAGAATTAGAGCAGGTGTGTGATAAGCAATGTTCCATCTTCTCATTTGATTTTCCACTGAAAGATTATGTAACTGTGAAATTGAGGGTGCACTTATTCTCATCTACTGGGTTAAGAAAGAATTCAGACATGTGTGGCAGATTAAAAACTGCCATTGTGGCAATACTGGTGTTACACGACATCGTTTAACATGGTCCAAACCTATTTGATGTAAAAACTCAGGTGTTCCTTAAATTGTTTTGAGTTGGAGGGTGCTTGGCCTCTTAGGTGACTGAATTTATTGTTACCGAAGGTGCTAATTTTCTGAACAGAAAATTTTCTCATAATGAGCCAATTGAGTTTTTCCAATGCTCAACATTGGACAGTGGTAAAATAAGTATGACTGAACATTTCAAATCCACTTTGGTTTGGGATCACACTTTCTGAAACTTGTGTGTCAAGGATTTCATTCTTCAAATCATTCAGTAAGCATCATCCGGACAGCCTTGTTATAATTTTTAGACTTTTTAATTTGACTGGGGTGTAAATGTCCCCCACTGCATACAGCAAGTACAAGAATATTCAGTTTCTATGAAATCCAGCAATATCTATCCATGATGAAAACATCTATGCGTGGCAAAAGTATTACTTTAATCTCAGCAAAAACATCAGCCTATAAGAAGCTAAATGTTCACTCCCATGTGATTAGTTGTACTAATTAAAGACGCCACAAGTATAAACACCACAATTTAATTGATATCACACTCGACTACAACAACTCATTGTCATAAAGGTACATGCGCACACTGTATTTTGAAATATATCTACAAAACTTGATGAATACTATATAGATGATGGTGGTCCAGTTACACCTTCCACGTATCTCTTTGGCACTGCAAGAAATATATTAAATACAAATGGTTACATATAAAAATATAACAGATCAAGTGACACGTTTATTTGGCCAACTACTAAATTTGTCAAAACATGTCTTAAATACAATTGAATACATACATTTAACAATAGATGGCCATCATTTAGCAGTCTTTGATGAACATATTAAGTTTAGTTAACAAAGTAGTCGATGTAAATCTAAGAACCGAAGTGCAAAGAGAGTTTTGACCTTTAACACTCAATTCAGGTCGATAATTTTTTAGTCTTACAATTGAACAGTCAAATCTATTCTAATGCCTCTATAGTTCCAGTACACATGTACAATCAAGAATAGTGAAATAATACTTTATATTTAATAAACAGCACCTGGATAGTCCCATGGAAATCTCTCATTTCTAGCTTCTGCAGACTTCCGGAACGGACTAGCAAACACTAAAACAGGCGCTGTAAGAGAAAACAGAATAATGTATGAGCATGTATTAAGACTTGCACAAAACGAAAATCATCTTTTTATATTAAAACAATACAAATCACAATACAGAAACCTGCAACAGTGCATTAGATCATTGTCCTGCACTCCCCTGCATTATCATTTTTGCATGTGAAATAGCATGCACATTGTTACACCATTGCATGTTATTCAGTGTTTCATCTAGGATGAAGCCATGAGGGGGGATTGTCCCCCTTTGGTGTAAAAATTGAGGGGGACTTCACTTTGTCAAGGGGGGAATGGAAATTGATGACAAAACAGATTTTGCTATTAACACAGGTTACGGGCATTGTATTTTTTATTAAAGTTGGGAGTAGAACGGTCAAAGTATTATTAACATAATTGTACATGTCTATCTAAAACTGAGAGTGGATTCAAGACAATACTATATTGTACCAAATGACGTTATAATATGCAAATACAGTAAACCTATCTGAAATGCACTGACGATAATTATTAGTTATTAGTTACTAATAACTACAGTTCCTGTGCTGCATCATGGCTAAACAGTAATTGAATTTGTGCATGGTCAATAAAATATTTTTACCCTTATCAGTCAGAGTGACTTAATGTAAATATATTTGCTACAC